TTCATCGGTGAAAAGCAATTTATAAAGAATCTACATTCAAAAAAATAATAATAAATTTGAAAAAAAAAAGAATCTACATTCAAAAACCTCTTTAAAGTGACAGTGGAGAGGACATAGAGGTGATCCCCGCAACATCTGTCCCCCTTCTCTTAGAAATCATTTCTTCTCTTTTCACTTGGGTTTTACCTCATGCTGGGTGCTGGGGAGAAGCGCTGTGGCTCCGGAGGCACCTCATTTCCACACTCCCAGCTCCTTTCCCTAAGGGTTAGATCATGGGTGGGCATAGGACCCCTGGGGGCCACTGAGAGATGAGGCAGGTTTATGAAGGAAGCTTCCTCGACCTTCTAAGAGGGTCATCAGAAGTATCTTTCCTTCCTTCCTGGGTTACCACATGTTGTGAGGGCTGGCCCTGCTGCAGCCATCTCACTGCCATGAAGCAAGTCAGAGGGTGAAGAGGACATAGAAGGAGACTGAATTAAAAGGATGGCAGAGACTGGATCTGGATTGCTGAAGGAGCCATGCCGACTGCTTGCATACCTCAGGACTTCTGTAGTAACTTAAGTAACAAGTATTTTGCTTAAATCTGAATTGAGGTTTCTGCTACTTGCAGGGGGGAACATCTCAACTGACACAGCCGAGTTAAACAAAACTGGGCCGAATACTTAGGGTGGTCAGAACCTTTTCATATTAATGTGCATCAAGACTCAAGCATCACGCRTGTACTATTACCCCAGTTAAATTGGCTGTGGGTTCTCTTCTTTCATAATGCACCTCAAAGGACTGGATCTAGTGTGTCTACCAAGTTTTACAAAAATGGAGACTGAGATCCAGAGATGTAGGTGAGCTTCCTGGCTGTTAGGATTGCCAATCCATGCCAGAGTACAGGCCCCTGACTCCCAGGTCTGCTTCTCAYCTTAACATCAAGCCCTTCTTCTGTGTCTAAAGAGCCTTCTTCATTGATGAACTTCAGGAGAGGGATGGTTCTTTCGCAGAAACTCCAGTTTACTGGAATAGGTTGCAAATTATGGGTTCCATAGGCAGAATAATAGAACATTAGGTCTCATAAAATGGATCTGCAGTGTTTGAAGTATCAGTTGCCAACACTGAACAATCAGGTATTTCAGACAAAAATATCAGTTTCTAGCTCCCTGCATAAAGCTCAGATAATCTGGCAATACTACGCCTCTCTTTTCCCCTGGCTAAAGGCCAGCTCTGCTTCCTGGGATGAATTCTCGGCTTCCAGTGATCCTCAGTCCCCACTGTTCCCTGTTACCTCCCAACACAGATGCCATCTGYGGTACCAGGACAGGAGGAATATTGCTTTACTTTTTATAACTAGTCCATCTTATTTAATTCCCYATTTGCCCTTGTAGTCAGTAATCTTGTTATCACTGAGAAAGTTAAATTACCCAAAGTTAGATATGAAGAAATAGGTCCAAAGTCCAATCAGTTTGGAGCAACCCTGAGTTAAACAGAGAAGGAACAGGTTCTTTACTTGTGGGTCTTTTCTTCGTCTACAAGGCGTGAGGGCCAGCATCCATTTTTTGGCTATCTTTTCAGAGACCATCTCTGCCATTATTATTTTACTGAATACTGCCCTCAGGACCCTTGTTGTTCCCTCYTCACACAGAGCTGTTGGACTAACGTCTTTTTTTTTTTTCCTCCTGAGATTTTTATCATCCTGTTTTTCTGATGTTCCCTGAAAGCTGTTTTGAGAACAGAATAATAGCAGGCTGGTCCAGGTGGGTCCAGCTCCTAGCACAGGTGAGCATGAGACGATCCCCAAGAAGAGGCTCCTTATTCTGGGACATTCTGGCAGAGCAAGGAGAACAGGACCAGGCTTTCTGCAGCCCACTCACTTTCCTAAGGATCCAGTTCCTTGGTTCACACCAAGAAGCCAATTTCCTGGGGGGAAAAAATGACAGGAGAGAGGTCCCAGGGGGACTAGTACCCAAAGAAAAATAATGCATCTTAAAATCTGCCGCTTCCAACAAAGGCCTTGCAGCTGGCCCTTAATTTTCCTCTTTTTACAGTGTCCTCACTCACAGGAAAGGGACATGTGCTTCTCAKTTCTAGGTGACCAGTGTGCTCCCAACATGCAAAACAATTAGGTTTGGTTGGAAAAAGAATTAAAACCCTCCRRTTATGGGGCTGGGGTTGTGGCTCAGTGTTAGAGCGCTTGCCTAGTATGTGTGAGGCCCTGGGTTCCATCCTCAGCACCACATATAAACAAACAAAGGTCCATCAACAACTAAAAAATATTAAAATTAAAAAACCCCCAAACCCCTCAGCTTAGTTTTTCTGCACATAGAATTGAGGCCCATCCAGCAAAGAGGCAGAARCTCACTTGCCGCTCCCAGATGAGAGTGAGATTTCACTTAAGGGTTCTTTGGTGACAAACAAGTCCCTGTACTAGATCCCCTCCTGGGAGGCTTCCCCAGCTACAGCTTTTCGAGGGGAGTTTCTCTCATCCACCCTTTTGCCAGCCAGCTCTGAGCTGGCCGCTTCATCCTCCTGGGGAAGAGAACCCCCCCTTGAGGGTTAGTGGCTATTCCTGGCTGGAGAGCACATAGCCCCCAGGAGCTGGTCCCATCATCCCAGCAGGGGCCAGCAGCTGTGCCCTTTCTCCTGAAAGGGGTTGATCMGGTCAGAGGCAGTGAGAGAGACCCAAGCTGCTCTTGGGAGAGGTGGGTGCTTTCCTTCTCTGCAGGGAGCCTAGCCCTCCTCTTCTGGCCAATCAACTGAGGCTGCTGACTGCTGGTGCACGTGGACCCTGTCTCTTAGCAAGCCCAGGTACAACTCCCACACTTCCTTAAGAGCCACGTAGGTGGTCATGAAGTCATGACTCGCTCTAACTCTGCCTCCTTCCCTTGTCCAGCAGGAGTGTGTCTTATCCTCCTAGCCCAAGGTGGTCCCTCGCCCAATAGAAGCTTTGTAATATGTAGCAAGTGACACTAAATCATGTGGCCAGAAGGTGACCTGCAGTCTCTGTCAGGAAACATCAGAAAGGACATTCAAGGACAGTTTTAGTGCTGGGGGAAATACAAATTGCACATTCTAACCATAATTGCAACTTGCACTTATTGATCATTTATTGCATATCAGGTCAGGCATAATGCTAAGCACTTTCTCTAGAGATTATCTTGTGCAACTCCTATGACAACCAGAAGAATGGCTCCAGTTTTAYAAGTGGAAAATCGAGGCTAGGAGAGGTCACCTTACTTGCATAAAAAAAGTCATGTAGGTAGYGTTCAGCCCAGGCAGTGTTCTCTGGTCCTGGTTCTCCTAACACAAGGCTTTCTGAGGACTACTTCCCTTAGGAAAAGTCAGAGTTCCTCCCTTCAAGGTCCCCAGACACACTCAAATGGGCCTATGGCCACACCRGATGAAAAAGGAGCTACAATTCACACAAAATTCTTAAATGTTGGATCAATTTGAAAACAGTAAGAAAATGCTCCATAATGAAGACCTCCGACTGACTTGCCCCCTTTGGGTTTCAGACTATAATCCTCACTCCAGGGAACTGAGCACTGAGATCCAACGAGAGCTCCCCTCACCAGCCTTCTACTGGCCCCAGCTGAAGTGGCAGAAGCCACAACCCCAGCCCCCAACTCTTAAGGATCACACCGGGGGGCCGGCAGGACCTCCCGGTTTGTTTGCTTTACCTGCTGTAGACGAAGCACTCTTGGTTATTGATCACTTTATCCGACTGGTACCTGCGGAGGTCCTCCCAAGCATCTTTGATGGCAGTGACCGCCARGATGACGCAGACTGGAATCACGCTCAACCCAGGCTGAAAAGCACTGACCACGGGGATGAAATTCAGAATCACGATGCCCACAAAGTAGAGGTTGGCAAACCGGTGCAGCTGCTCAAAGACGTTYTTGGGGATGAAGGACAGCGCCGTGTACTTGCTGGTCTTGATCTGGTTCCCACAGTACTGTTGGTTGGGGTTCTCCCTGAGCGACCATCCCTCAAAGGGCAGGTTGGAGACCACCACACGCCTCTTGTCGTCTTTCCTCTTCCGCCTTTTCCTCCCCTCCTTTCTCATCTCCGTGCCGCCCTGCCTCTCCAATCCTCATAATTCCATCCACTAGCCTGCTCGGCTGAGAACTTCTCCTCTTCTTTCAGAAAGGAAGACTCAAAATAACCAGCCAGGAGAGAGCCAGGACAAGCCAGGAGCCTTCAGGGAATGGGTGTGTACCCAGCAGGCCACTTCCTTCTACTCTTGGACACCCCACCTGTTGGAATGTGGACGTCACCAGCAGGTGTCTTCCTATTTCATCCAGGGCAGCCAGCAACAGGTGCACTGGCTCTGGGTCCTAAAACCTACCTGTTCAATTCTAAAAGCAAACAGTTTTATTCTGAGCCTTTAGAGATGGCATTTTCTTGGTTGGGAGAAATTACTCAACACCTTCCGAAGGGTTTCTCCTGAACTGTCTCCTGAGATGATCCCGTCTTCACTGAGTTTAAACTTTTGGTTTCCAACCCACTTTTTTTTTTCTTAAATTGTGGATGAACTCAATCTCTTTGTTTTCATGTGGTGCTGAGGATCGAACCCAGTGCCTCACACGTGTGAAGCAAGTGCTCTACCACTGAGCCACAACCCCAGCTCCCCTGCCCCCAACTCTTAGTAATGCAACCACTTGTGTTTTTCCAAGTTCTATTAAGTTTTCTCAACATTAGCACTGTTGACATTTTTGACCAGATAATGATTTTTCACTGTGTGCGGGGTTGCCCTGGGTATTGTAGGGTATTCACCAGTACCCTCTGATTCTTTTCGGTAGATCCCAGTAGTTCTCTCCCTCCCAGTATGACAGCCCCAAATATCTCCCAATAACARATGCTACTTGGGGGGTTCAATTGCCTCCTCTTGAGAATCACTGAATTAAATGAATGTAAGAAAATATCAYGTAGGGAAAGAGACCAATTCTTGGAACCTACTGAAAAGTTTGTATAACCCGATTGCAAGGGAGAAAAGAGAAGCAAGTTTCCCTTACCCTTCATATATTCTGACGCTGGAGTGGTTTATCTCTCTATCAAAGCGGTGTCTCTTGAGGTCCTCCATGCCGTCCTTGACCATGATGATGAGCAGCACGATGGCCAGGGGGAGCATGGTGATCTCTCTGTGGAAGACCTCCAGGGAGGGCACCCAGTTCAGAATCACCAGGAACAGGAAGTAGAGGTTGGCCCCTCTRCAAGGGGCAAGCCAGGTGTGAGTGAAGGCTGCAGAGGAAAATCTCCCTTTCCTGTTTCTTCCTACTCTTGGCCCGGATGGACAGAAATGACCTCTACTTTCCATGGTAGGGCTTTGAAGCCAACTGATCTAGGTATAAATGCTATTCCTATTGTTTCCTTGTTGATTAACCACCTGATCTTATTTTTGCTTATGTACTGTGTGGAGAGTAGTACTTTTGACCTTAGAAAGCTCTTATAAATGTTACATACTCAAATATTTCTTAGGATATAGAGTGCTCCAGAGCATAGTAGTTACTCCACAAATGGCAGTTTATAATAATTATAAAATTTAGGATGATTCCCAAGACCACCTTTTGATTTATAACCAGTGATGATTTTTCATACCTTATCTCAGAAGAGTGGCTTACGTTTTCAAAGTTTTCAAGCACATCCTATGTCCTCTTCCCACAGTGCCTCTGCATGTGCAGGTCTATCTGCTGAAACACTCTTCTGCTCCCTCCCCTGACTTCTACCTGCTTCTTTCCACTCAGTTAATACATTTTCTCCCCTTCAGCTTACATTTCAATTGCGACTTCCTCAGGGAAGTTTCTTCTGATCCTTAACTAGGTCCAATTTCCCTCAAATATCACCATATACCTCTCTTGGAAAGTAATTTATTCTAGTGGTAATTTTATTTTGTTACATAACTTAGAAATTAGTGTCTCTTTCACTAGAGAACACACTCATGAGTTTGGTCTCTTTTTTTCTCATGTACCTCAAAAGTGCTCAACATGGGACCTAATAAATATTTAATGAAGAAATCTTCTCTAGGCACCTGCATTAGGGTATTCAGGGAGAGGTGGCCCCAGAAAGCACCATCTAAGTTCATCTCAGGGGCAAACACCTGGTTAAAACAGGTGCTCTTTGGACAAGTGGCTGTGTACCTGTGAAACTGCTCACAGAGATTCCGGGGCAGGAAGGTGAGGAGGCTGTATTTGGTCGTGCAGATTCTGTTGCCCGAGTATCTCCTGGAGACCTTTTCCCAATCCTGGTGGCAAAGGCTGTTGTTGGGGACCACAACCCGCTGCTGCGGCAGGCTCGGGTTCTGCCTCCCCCTCTCTGGAGGGAGCAGTGCCGTGGTCTCTGATGGAGACTCCGGGAAGCCGTCTGGGACTCGCCACCGCCACCTGGGCCAAGATGAGTCCACGGAGAGGGCCATTCCAGCGAAGGTCTGAAAGCAGACATGTGAGGTCATCAGTATCAAGAGAAGCAGGTGTCATGCCAGCCCATCCCTTTGTCCATGCAAGGTAGATGCTGGGGTCCTAAGCTGTAGGATTGCTCCCTATAATCCATGCCTTCTAGGATGAGTGTCGTTAAACAGAATCACATGGAAAATTTGATACAACTGAGCTGTGGTAAGCATTTTGGAAGCCATTAAGGGGAGTGAGAGGTGTTAATGACACAGTTGGTGACACTGAGGGGAAAAGCCCAGGTGTTGGGCTCATGAGCTCAGCCCTGGAGGTGAGAATCCTAGAGCTGGTTGATGCCCGAGGCTGAACTGTCCACCTCCACCTTGCCCACCTCTTCTTTCCTTACTGAAAACAGAGAAAGACTATTCTTACTGTAGCTTCTCGTGGGAACTTTGAAAGGAACAAATTGCAGAAGACAGAAAAGACTGTCGACACCTTTTAAAACAAAGGGAAAGGTATTTTTTTTTCTTTAGGATTTTTTTGGTTCTGAAATTTTCTGATAGTCATGACATTTCAGAAAAGCTCAGCAGTGTTCAGAACCTCTAATGGTGGGGAGAATGGCACAGGGAGGCTTTTCCACAGGTGCTAGAGGTGGCATGGCCGTGCTGATGGCTGCTGGAGTCTCGGACATCAGCTGGTGGCTGGTGGTAGATGGTCATGCCCTCCTTCCTCCCCAACTCCACCTGGTGGTTTCTGAACCTGAGCCCTTGGCACAGTGATGCTTTTCTCAGATGGAGGAGGAATGTGGTCCACCTAGGCTCTTCGGCTTCCTGAATGGTTTTAATAGAACTTATGAGTAAAGAAGCCGCAAGTGTCCTCATGGCCAAATGTTGCTTTAAGACTCAGAAATACAGGTCAACATGGTGGCACATGCCTGTAATCCCAGCGGCTCAGGAGGCTGAGACAGGAGGATCAAAGTCGGCCTCAGCAATTTAGTGAGGTCCTGAGCAACTAAGTGAGACCCTGTCTCTAAATAAAATATAAGAAAGGGCTGGAGATGGGGCTTCAGTGGTTAAGCACCCCTAGCAGCAAAAAAAAAAAAAAAAAAGACTCAGAAATACATTATTCAAAGATTCAGTTTGCAAAGTTAGAAGTGGTGTATAATTGTTGTTCCCACTTAGTAAGCTCAGAGGATGATTCTCTTTTGAGTAAGTGAATGAGTAAGTGGCAGGTATTATTAATCTTAATCTGAATGGCCCCAGCCTGTCATTGTAAATATTATCACTTAGGAAAAAAATGTTCCATTTCCAGTTTGAATGGTAATATTTTATCTTCTTGATGCCCATATGATCAGAACCTCATCATAATTCTCCTCATAGCTTTAATCAACCCAAATGATTTTTAATCCATGACCCCAGGGCTGTTTGTTGGAAGCTTTTCAGAGTCTTAGCAAGCCCTTGTAGCAAGCATGAAAAAAATAAATGCAATTACAGGTGCCCATCATAACATGACCAAAAGCAATATTATGACATTCAGCAAGCCAGAAATAATATCACACATCTTCTTTCTCATTATAAGAAAATATGCCCCCTTCATGGATTCTTTTTTTTTATTGCAAAGGAAAAGGAGATGAAAAGATAATTCACAAATAGAGTTGAAAATACAAATGAGAAATTTTTGCCTTGGCTAAGGCCATACACATCAAACTTTTCTCATTTTTAGCTGCTAACATCTTTTTAAATGAAGAGATTAAATTGATACAGGAGATGAAGGTATTTTCGAGGGGTGGTTTAAATGCCCATTTATCATAATCACATTCTTTCTAACAACGTAAAATAAGCTTCTGTAAAAACGAAGCGACTGTAAGAAAGGTGTCAAATCCTTGCATCTAGTTTGATGAGGAACTAGGTATTTTCATATTTTCAAAGAATCCTTCCCAATCATGAATTCCAATGGTAAAAATAATCATCCTGGTGTGGTGAAATCTGGAGGACACCAAGCAAATCAAGAAGGCAAAGCAAGTATCACCAATATCGGGATGAGCTGACCTCTTGTGCCTCTTGACAGGACGTGCTGAGAAGAATGTGACCTCATTTTGGCAGGAACAATAACAAACCTCAAATTATAGGTTACTCTACAAAATAATTGGCCTGTGCTTTTTGAGACAAAAAGGTAAAGAAATTGTTTGATGGAAGGAAGCTTAAAAAGACATAAGAATGGAATATCATCTGTGATTTGAATTGCACCCTAGACTAGAGGAGAGATAAATAGGTACAGAGGGCTTTATTACACAGTAGATGAGATTTGGATAGGAACTTAAAAATTAGGCCTTTGTGGGTATTTGTGTTTCTGTGTGTGTGTGTGTGTGTAATTTTTTTGTGTGTGTGGGACTAAAGATCGAACCCAGGGCCTTAGGCATGCTAGGAATGCATTCTACCACTGAGCTACATCCCCAGTCTTAGATAAAGTATTTTAATAATGTCATATTTTCTGAATTTTGTGATAATAGGGTAGATAATTTTTTTAAAAAATCTTGTTCTTAGGGAATGTATCCTAAAGTAGTTAGGGTAAAGGGAAAATTGTCTCAAAGATTCAGGAAAAAAAAAGTGTGTGTTTGAATATGAGTGTGGGTGTGGGCGTACACGCATGCTCACACACACACTCATGCACAGAGTGGAAGAATCGGGGGACTCTTCCTGGGAAAAGGAATACTTCTTCAAACAGTTACCTGAAGACCACAGAAGAGCTAGCAGAGAGGCTGGGGAAAGGTGTTCTAGGTAGATGAACCAGTAGTAGAAACAGCAAGAAGTCCATAGGAGTACCCCATGGAAGACATGGAACTGGGGCACAGAGGCCAGCAAGAGTTGACACTGGAGAGGCAGAGCAGGGACAGAGGGCCTGTTAAAGCTCTTATGCTGAGAGGCAGTGTGTGTGTGGGGGCTTCTCAAGTGTTTTAGGCAGAAAGTGACATGGTGTCATCTGTGGACTCCATGCATTATGCTGGCAAAGCAGGTAGGAATGGGTGGAGGGACCAAGGTTGGGGCGGGGAGGCAGCCCTCCACCCACTGCCCGCTCTCCTCTACATAAAGTGCTTCCTGCCAACAGTGGGACAGGAACACAGGGCACTTCACGATTCTTTTCTCGGAGGTGTGTTTTATGACTGCACCTGGAAGAGCCGCCCAAGGTCCTTCCTATTGCAGTCTGTCTCACCCTGCTTTTTCCTGAAACCACAGCTCCCACTAAGAGAGGACGTCAGGATTGCCTAGCTTTGCTAAGTCACACTCAGATCACCTTGGCAACCCTCACAAGTACCCTAACATGACTTTCCTCTTGCCAGGATGTCCTCTAGATTATAGGGGGCATTTTTATGAGGTTTGCCATTAGCTTAATATCCTATTTTTTTTTTTTAAGGAAACTCATTGTCATTCCCAAACTTTCTTAACCATGCCCCCATCCAGTCAGTTCCTTCCTCTTTTTAATGAATCCAAATAAATCCCATCATTAGCAAATTCCATTTTTATGGGCAAAGGGCCAATTAAACAGTATTCACCAGATCAATAAATACATATTGAATCCTTCTGTTGTACAAGAGCTGTAAACATTACACAGGGATCTCTCTCCTTAGGAGCTTACTTGGGTGTGACTGAGAGATTTTAAATGCACACTTGGAGAGATGAACAGATACTCACCAACCCTATCACAAAGGAGAGCAGGTGGCAATGCGATTACATTTCAGTGGGGTTGGGTTTGTCCCTGAGGAGGTGGGGCTTGAGCTGAGATCAGGGAATGAGCTAGGGGAAGCAAGATTCAGCAGACCAATTCTCTAAAAAACCTGTGATTCAGTTAGGCAGGACTATGGGCCATGGTGGGTGGAGGTGGGGGGGATACTATGCAGTCAAGATCTATACTTAGATTTTTTTTTTTTTGTTTTTAAATTGTTATTGTTCTTTGCACTGGTTTTATTAGATGCTAACTGGTTTAGGAAAACCAGTTTTATCAGGATTTTAACTAGTTTTATCTCTTTTATCACGATTTTAAGAAGATATTTTCTAAGCTTGCTTGTATGATGGGTGGATATTTTGCCCATCAATTTTTGGGAAGCACCTTGCTCTGAGACTTCCAGTGAGTAATCAGTAGGTTTAGCCTTCCCTGAGGGCTCTCTGTGATTGATGGAAACACATTTAGTGACTTACTTGAGCACACTCTTGAGACCCTGTTGGAAATTTCCATTGACAACCAGCATATTACCCTGATATTAGAATTAATTAGAATCTAATAAAGCTTGGTCATCAATTAACCATGGAATTTTTAAAGTAATCTATCCTCAGGACAAAATGTGTAAATCTCACGAAGAATTTTCTACTACTAGACAATAAATGCACAATAACCATCTTGGAAGAAATGACCTGAAGTTGGCACTTCCTTGAATTGGTGAATTCTATCAATCTTCCTCAAGTGGTGACCACTCTTGAATCACATTCCCAATTTTTACCACACCCAAATAGGTGTTTAATTAAATGCAGTTATACTTTATTTAAATCAAATTGCCTCTTAAAAGCTTAAATGTTGATTTTGTGCTAATGTTAGCTTTGTGCTAAGAGCTTCGATATCTGAAACTAAGAAGCTTGATATATATATTTTAAATAGGAATTGCCAATAGGAAGTACTTTGTATTAATAAAAAAGTAGTTTTGGCATTAATAAAAAGTACTTTCTGCTAGTAGGGGCTATTATAACAGTGCCCAGTAGACCTCACTGGATTAATCCTATGCCCAACTCTTCCAAAAAAAAAAATGCCTTTCAATCTGGGTCCTGACAGAGATAGTCAATTGTCTTCTAATACTTTTAGTACTTCCCACAGATTCCCAACATCCCTTGTTGGTAGGAAGAGGCTGTGAAACAAGTTCTGGACATTAGGTGATGAGCAAAGCAGGGTAATTCCCATCTGGGTCCCTGATAGGACCTTCTGAGTTTGGCTTCTTTTTCTTAACATAATGTTCTCAAATTGCATCCATTATTCTGCAAATGACATCATTTCA